GCTCTGGATAGCTGGCCAATCAGAGCACACCTCGCTTTTCAGAACGATGAGCTTTGTAAAAATCAACGCGTTTCAGAAAGACAGAGCATAGAGGAGAAACAATAATGTACAGTGTGTGGAAAATAATGTGTTTTTTGAACCTTAAACCACATAAACACATTTCATTACACCAAATACACAAAATAATGTTCTTTTTTTAGCAGCGTCATATGACCCCTTTAATAACACAATTTACAATAACATCAACTTACTTCACAACTCTAATACTACAAAAATCTGTCAGTCATGATAAACAATTTACTGAGAAACATTAATGTAATATTCATGCTACACTATAAATTCATACAGCTCTAACCTGAGGGTAAGCTGATGCGGTTGCCATCTTTGAGCTTGAGGCGGCTGCGTTTGAACTTGCCCTTTCGTTTTTTAACATTGGGCTTGTCCTTGTTGAGTTGGAATATGATGATGTTGAGCTCACGCTCAAGCACATTAATTTCCCGCTCGGCCAGCTGCTGTTCCCTCCTCTTCAACAGCTCTTCATGAGACTTCTGCTGAAGGGCTGCTCGCGTCAGCTCCTCCTCACGTGAAAGGAGCTCCTGTTGGTGTGAAGAACATTCGTGATCAAGTCAATTTGGTGAACAATATATAAACAGTTCATCCAAACACGACATAATGGTGGGGAATAATAATAGAATTTCATTTTCGATTGATCAATTCCTTGAAATTATGACCAAACAAACTATGGCCAAGTTTTCTGATATACTGAATCACTGCCTAGGGAAGCAAAATTGAACAGTTCTCATGTTTATGACTCTACTGTGTCTACGAGCAAAAAAAAAAAAAAACAGCAATGGTATGAATGGCAGTTTCACTTCCTTTGGCCTTGGAGGACAGAGCTCAGATTCCTCTCTGCCTTGAACAGCTCATTTCAGATCAGTCTTCTTTTCTTGGGTTTACCCTTGAGCACCACAAACATGACTATAATGTGAGACCTGTGAGTGAGTTATTCACACAACAGCAGCACTATTTATGAGCTAGTAAATAAATACTTAAGAACTGCTTGTTCTCTCGTTCTCTACGTTTCACTTTTGCTCTGGCTTACACTTTAAACTTGAATACGGCAAAGGAAATCCTGTCTTTTGGTTAAAAAAAATCTTTTGAACAGAATAATCCACATGTATAAAACTTGCAGGCAGAATTGTTAAACATTAATCAAAACAGTTTTCCGGCCACATGGAGTAAAGCCGTTTGGCCTAATCTCTTATGAATAACTTCTGTAAGAAGCTTTGGGGCAGTCTGCCAAGAAACACACTTGAATGATTTAGACAATTCATTAATGAATGAACAATTTGTTCATTTACTAGCGAGGAAAAGTTTTGCGCATCACGAAACAAGAAAAATATTTATGTGCGAAGACTTTACTTACAGCAGTGGAAAAATTCACTGATCAAGAATGTACGTGGAATAAAATGTCAGTTTCTACATGAAGTTTTAGCTGACTTGCAGGAAAGAGCATTCTTGATCAACCAAAGGCAAATCCTTTTCAACATAGCAAGCTGCTAGGACTGGAAGCAGCTTATCATATTAACTTTATCAAACGTTTAAGGCCATTTCACTGGTAATAGATGGGTTTAAGAGGATAAGTTCAACCACAGTTATCCTGTTCAAATCTGAACCAAAAAAAAAAAAAAAAAAATAGGTCCACTGTCTCATTACAAAACAGTTTGTGCAGTGTTTGGCACACAAATCAAAACTATAAAGTCAATGTAAAACAAGCTCAGAAATAGACAAGCCAACAAAATCTTGATCAACTGACCTTTTCTTTAGTGCGTAGCTCATCAAACATTTCTTGAATCTCCACTCTCCAGTCCTCCTGCATTGAGTGGAAGGAGTCCTGCGGCATGGTGGCCATCACAGCCTCCTCTATGGCAGTCAGCTGCTCCAAGATGGAAGCAAAGGACGGGCGGATGTGGGGATCCTGCTCCCAGCATTCTATGAGCACAAAATATGTTAAGAATCCTATAGGTTATCATTTCAATGAATTGTCATTGCTGATTGCAGTGGGAATTGTTCACACTCAAGCCCTGTTCACAACCGCCAGCGACACACAGTAACATGATCCCATTCATTTCAATAGAGAACTGCTGATTTAGGCAATGTAGGCATGTCCAGTGGCATGAACGTTTTCTTTGCATAATGTTCATTATTAGAGAAAATAAATGATAGTTTTTCTCAATCAAATAAGAATTCCTTGGCAGTAGGAGCCAGTTCAAATTGTATTTTAACAGATTGTTCATCTGGATGTTTTAATGAACCAGCACTGCTGTATTCTATATAACAGCAGCAGAATGTTACTTCATTAGCAACAAGAAAATGAAAACCTAGTCAAATTAGAATATCTTAGTTTTACCATCAATATACATCATCTGTGATATGCAGACTACCAATAACTTTAGAGCGAACAGCAACAAGCAACTTACAGTACGGAGACAAACTGGTGGTGTGAACAGGGCATCAGTGCTCAAACATCAAAAAATGCCATAGCGTGTTAATAACATATAGTGAACCATTGGATGAACAAAGGAGCACCATCAGTGAACTACCAACAGACCTACCCTCCATGAGCTTGGCAAAAGGCTCGGGACAGGTAGATGGAATGGGAAGGGTTAATTTGTTGACAGCCACTCCATAGGCAACTGCCAAACCGTCGATGCCACGGTAAGGAACCTCTCCAGTCAGTAATTCCCAAAGGAGGACTCCATAGCTGCACCGAGAATAGAATGCATTAAGGAAGTGTCAGTGTGGTATGGGTTGGTATTAATCACACAAATGGGCTGAATGAACAGTGCTTATGTACAATATTAATGAGACTGGCATCTTTGGTGCACTCAGCACTTTTTCCCTGATAAAAGGTTGTTCACTGAGTGCACCTGTGTTCTTATGTGTGGTCTGTTCCTATTATGAAAGTGCGCAAATTGATCCCAAAGCAAACATTTTATAATTGCTAAATATTTCTACAATTACTTAAGTTCTCTTCTTAACCTCATGATAAGGCAAAGAAAGGGAAAAACAATGTTCTAGCAATGTCAGGAAAGAAAGAAGAGAGAAGTGAAACCAATCATGTGTTGGCATACTGTAAGCAATGTCTGACCAAAGTGGCGTGAGAACGTTTGAAAAAGGATGAGTCTTCAAATTTAGCTTTCACAAACAAGTTAAAAGGGCAGCTGGATCACTACTAAAATGCTGTACTAGTTCAAACTGACCTAAAGTTTCTGTTAACCTAAAAACAAAATCAACCACTACATACTCTGTATTAGCCGTGTTCCAAAACCTACACGCCTACACGGGGAGTTCCCTTTTAAAGCAGTATTCAAATGGAAACTTATTCTCTCAAGTGACTGATTTGGAACACTTCCAATACAGTTTGAAGCTGGCAAGCTAAAAACACAATTTTCTAATGTATGTATATTCATCATGGCACACAAACATTGGGTAAAATACAGTATGTAATTATATAAAAAATGATAAATATATTAAAAATGCTCAAATTATGCATCATAGAAGGATAATTACCCTGCTTGCATTTTTGAAATGCTTATAGTGCACCTATGATGCCTGAGTGATTGTCTAACCTCAAGTAACTAATTCACGATAATAACAGTCTTTGTGCTCAACATTGCAATTAAGTTAAAACAACAGCTTACCTCCAGACATCACTCCCTTTGGAAAACAGAGAGGACTTGATGACCTCAGGAGCCATCCAGGAATAAGTGCCAGCTGCACTCATTTTGGTCGTTTTGTGCCACTCACGGGCCAGGCCAAAGTCAGTAATCTTCAGGATTTTTCGACCAATGTCATCATTCTCAATTTTTTCAAGTAATAAAACTAAAATAAAAAAGACAGGAGAATTTTTTTATTTATTTGTACTATATTAGTTATAAATTAATTGTAAAAGTCAGCAGTGAAAAAATGAACCGAAATAACAGACAAAAAAATAAGTGATTGGGCTGTTCAGATCAGCCACTTTAAGGTATGATGGGAATGTTTTCTACGTGCGAGCCTTAGCCTTTGAGCATTTATGTCAATGAACAACAATACAGGAATGCTAAGAGGATGCTCATATTTCCACTCTTTTATCATGAAGTGGAAACTTCAAGGACACAGGCCTACATGAAGAACTCAGAGCGACATACAAGTCGCTCCACTTTACAATACAGTCTCGTACAACATGGGAATGTAGGCCAGCTTGCTTTGAAGCGAGGAACGTCCTGAGGTCAGGAGTAGTATTATTTTTCACCAGTTCTGTCCTTGACATTTATCCAACTTGAGACCTTTATCAACATCAGTATGTAATAAATAGGAAGGCCATCAGTTGATAACTACATGTCTGATTAATCTGACCTTGACTCCCTTTCCATCATGACCCGAGGGGGTAACTAAGTATTTTTATTTGTGGACACATTTCATTAAACACTTTCTAACATTCCCAGCCTTTACTCAGCGTACAGTGGTGAGGACTGGCCTTGACTACACTCCTATTGACCTGTTACAATGTAAGACATTTAATATAACTGTCTCAAATTGTTAATATAACATTTTCACCCGTTCAGTACAGAAATCACAATGTTTATTTATTAATGCAATAAGCAGAGAAAGCCATCCAATCAGAATTTAGAGCTGAAACTATTAGTTTCAAAATGAGGATTTTAGATTCCTTTACAATTTTATTCATTTCCTTTAAACTCAAACATGCTGGACACCGCAAATAAAAAGAACCACACAGTGTCTTTTAAAAGATAAAAGACCTGTATGTTAGAAAGTCCTCATGTTCAAAAAACTTTCATTTTGGGACAAACATGAAAATTGGGATTCCATTTCGAACAGGTTTCACCCGTTTGATGCTTTCAGGTTAATCTCAGCTGTTGGTTTCTGTGCACTTTCAGGTTTGCTTTCCATGAAGTAACAACACAACAGTTTAAAATTTAATGGAATAACTCTACACACCCACAACCTATTACACAATCATCAGTATTAATATTTTATGCATTTCAGTAAACCAGTTGGTTGGATATGAATGCTGTCTTATTACTAAAGAAGATCAGCTCTTTTCTGTGAACCTGAAACAAAATAAATTTATTTA